CTACGGCTACGTGCGACGCATGCATCGCTGGACACGCTGCTGCTGGCTCGAGTTTTTCCTCGTTTTCTTCTTGTTTTCCTTCTGCTTTTCAGTTTATTCTTCTGTTTTTTTTTTTTTTTTTTGTTTTTCTATTCCTGCACAGAAATTCAATTATCGTGAATGCGAATTTTTGCCCGATTCGGAATCCGATTCCGCTTCGCATGTTTTGTTTCAAGCATCGGCAGACTCGGCGAACTTTCAGCGTATCAGCATTTTATTTGCTGTTGATTTATGCAATGCCCAACCGCCCCACCCAGCGTCCTCTCCCCTCCCCCAAGCACCCAGCTACCTCACGGGCGCCCCCATCCCAGCGCGCCGTGCTCACTCAAACAATCGCTGCTGGCAGCGCTGTTGAATATTTGCCAAGTATGCTGATTGAATTTTTTCCAGTTGACTAAATGATATCAAGGATATTTGCCAAAGCAGCGCTCTGTGCCGCCTCCAGAGCCGCATCCGTTTTAAAGGCTGGGCGCATAGCTTTAGTTGAGCTTTAGTCAGAGTGAGAAATGCTTAAATAAAGGCGACTAGCTTGGCAGCATTGCCTGACTGGAATGTGTCGTAGACTGGTCAGCTGTGTGTAGGGAAGTGCTCTTCTATGCGATTTTCATGAATTCATCTAATGCTAGGCTTTGGTATCTTATGACTATTTCAACTTGCAGCTTTCTCTTACTTAATTTGTTTGTTTGTCTCAATAATTCTCGCTCTTTTTATGTCAATCTGCACCTGTTTTGAAGACTTACTATCAGACGGACTGTGTATATCTTTCTTTCTCTCTCTCCCTCTCTCTCCCTCTCTCTCTCTCCCTCTCTCTATCTCTCTCATTGTGTTACAGCCTCTCTAACTCGTACACTACCTTACAATGTATTTGTATTTTCCCATCAATCTTTCAATCTCGTTTTTTTTTTCTTTTAGAGCTTTATCCTTTCTCTCTATCTCCTTGTCTTAGACTGTACCATCTGTCGCTCTCTCTCTCTCTCTCTCTCTCTCTCTGACACATTCTATTCCAGCTTTCTCACACTCTATATATCTCCCTCTCACTAACTCTCTCACTCTTTCTCGCTCTGTATTTTTATCTCTCCTACAATAAACCCTTCTCCTTTCCACTCTTTCTCACCCCTACAGTTGATCTTTCTATATCTATATATTTTTCTCTCTTACAGCCTATCCTTCTCCCTCTCCCTCTCACTCTTCTTCTTGTACAGTCTATCACTCCCTGCTCTACTTTTCTATACCTTGCCTGCCCTATCCCTTGCTGTCTCTCTTTCTCTGCATCATCTTAATACTATTGTCGTCTCTCTCTCTCTTTCTCTCTCTTTCTCTATCTTTCTCTCTTTCTCTCTTTCTCCCCTCTCTCTCTATATGTTTTATTCATTCTCTTTCTCTCTATCTCCTGTCATTCTCCTCACATATCACACCCTAATGCCTTACTTTCTCATCTCTTTTACTTGATCACACTATAAGTTCTCATAATCGCCTCTCTACGCAATTCTCAAGAATTCAAATCCAATTTACAACTAAATTCGTATCTTAAGAGCAGTATGCAAGTCAATAATATATAGGGCAAGTCTTTTGATAGTGTTGCTGCAGCCATATCAGCTGCTCTTAATTACAATAATCAAGGATGCGCCTTGCTCGCAGTCAGATGTAGAGGAGCTGATTGATATCAATATTCAAGCTTGGCCAACGTGCCAAGTGATAGATACTTGGCTTGGCAGTCCACATCTGGAGAGTTGCAATTAAATTGCAATTTGTTGCTCATTCAGCCACACACGAAGCAAACTGCACAGCTAAGCATTATCCTGGCTGCTGTCCTGGCTGCCAGCTGGCAGTTTGTCGTTGCTGCCGTTGATACGGACCGAGGCGGACCAGGGCAGGGCATGGGAGTATTATCAATTTCCAATATTTAGACAGGCAACTAGTAATAATCACGTTTGCTCAACGTCAACCAAGCAGCATATGAACTATGAGTGTCCTGCCAGCACAGAGTCCTGCCGAGCGACGCGTGGGCGTAATTAACACTTTGTGCCCGTGCAGCAAATCGAGCGGCTTAAACTGCACCAACAGCAACGAATGAATTAATTAATATGCCCAACGTGTGGCCTGGCTGTAGTCCTGGCTGCCATAAAAGGCGTTAAATTGACACAATTGAAAACACCCCTGAGATTTGTGGGCGAGAGGCCGTCGCTCCCACTGCCTCGCTGTGGGTTCAATTGTTGTCGCTGCCGTTCAGCGAGTGCGTTTAATCGGAAATGCTAACATCTTCATCGACGGCGATAAAAACTGTGCACAAGTGGCCAAAATCGCGATATGCGGCTCTGCGCTCTGAGCCAACTCTGTTTGAGCCATGCAAATATGCGTATGCGTAACAATTGATATTTTGGGCAAACATTCGCATGCGAGCAGCCAGAACGTGACATGACTAATGCCAGCTCAGCGCCACTTGAGGCACTCTTGAGTCTTATATATTTATTTAATATCGACGATGTATGTGGAGTAAATGGAATTTTGTATAATTAGATACAAATATGAATAAGCTGTTAGGATAACTTTGAAGAATTTGGTGATGAGCTCAGAGGAGAGTTTTGCACTTTACCTAATAAATAAATAAATAAATGTAAGATATAATATAAAAATTACTGCCCACAACATCTTTATAATTATTTATGTATATATTTTATATATCTATCCACGCTTCAAATCAAACCTCTTCCAACTAACTTTGCCTTAGTTCTCAAGCAAGTCTTAGATATTTTTAGATATTATATATACTGCATAGAAGTCATATATACTGCGCCTTCACTGTAGTTGCCAAAACACAATTGAATTTTGTTTCTGACGACCATTTTCTAGCAACCATTTATAGGTTATTTTTAAAATTTTTTAAAAATTATTAACTAAAATTTGACAGAACCAAATTTTATTTTATTTCAAGAATAATAAAATAGACTTTAAAAGAAAAACAATTGCAGAACTTTGACGCGATAGATATAGAAAATATATGTATGAATAAATAGGGTAATAGGAGTATTCGGAGGTACGCCAATCAAAATCTGTGTGCTAGCTCGATATATAATATATATAAATATATATATGTATATATAAATATATACCTGAGGCATTCATCACAAGAATTGTTAGTCGAAAATGAATTAAGTTTTTGTCTCGCACTTAACAACTTCCTCGGGCTCAACCCAGTGCATCTGCCCAATGCAAGACCCAAGCCATTTAGCTGTTGGCTTTGTTTCGTTCCGAGTGCTACTTGGCCATCAAATCTGTTTCAATTGCTGCCTCTGAGCAAGTGACTGTCAAAACAGGCAAACAAATTGTGCAAATAAGTCGAGCGAATGTTATTTATGCGCAGACAATTTTTCAGTGATTAAATAACGAGAGCGAGAGATAGAGAGAGGGAAATCGAATCGATTCGCGATCGAATTACAAATAGTGAAATGACATGAAAGTCTGGCTAGCTAACCAGGCAGATATATATATATATATATAGACTAGACTAGATCTCGAATCGGCTGCACGGTTAATGGCCTGGAGGTGTGCATGCCAATTGTCATGCGCTGAAATGCTTGTTAACAACAGCGATTGCTTTTGCTGTTCCAGCTCCCACTCGTCGTCCACTCGTCGTCTGTTGTTTTTTTTTAATCAAAGCTGGAGCAGCAGCTACTCCTGCTCTCGGAGTGGAGCGCTCCTCCCCCGTGGCAATAACGCCACACATTTGTAATGTTGCTTCTGTTTTTTGCAGTTGCAGTCGGCGAGCTGGAGAGCCGGAGAGCTGGAATTGCGCTTAGAAGCATTTTACAAGTTACTTTAAGGCAATCAATTTGTGGCCCCAGCAGCTGGGGCCAAAAAAGGTGCAGGCAGGTGGCTAAGCAGGGGAAAAAACCAATCAAAAGAGCGTTGCGAACGCAAATTGAACGCCAAATGGTTGCAAGATGATATTTCAATACATGCAGCAGCAGCAGCAGCAGCTCAGGTTCTGGCCCAAGTCCAGGTTCAAGTCAAGGGGCCATAAATTATGTGAACGGGCGACGCCTGCGCGTAGTTGCTTACTTTTTTGCAGTTATGATTATCGCGCTTCCAGCTTCCAGTGAGCGAGCGCGCGAGGGGTTGCGGAGCCGTTGCGGCCGAGCCGTTGTTGTGTGCAAACAAATGTAAAAAATTTTTAATTGACTTTTGGATTTGCGCCACCGCGCCAACAGTTGCAGCACTTTTTTTATGGCCACTCGCGTGCATGCAGCTTAAAAGTTAATAAAACACGCCCAATGATAACAAGACGCAAACCAGAGAGACAAGCAGACAGACAGCCAACATATTTTGCCCCTGAGGTCTTCATCATCGGCATCATGATGATGTTGGAAACATTGTGATCCTTAGCCAGCTCGTAGAAAAACAATCAATTAAGCGCGCAAGTAGCTGACACAGAAGGAGCGCCAGTTGCCAGTTGCCAGTTGCCAATGCCAATGGCAACTGGCACGACTCCAACTCCAACTGCACGTCCAACTCGAACGCCAATATGAATCCAATGCGATTCCAATCCGACTTTGGCTCTGATTCGCATTGCTTCACAGTGGCCAACGGCGGCGATTGGCGTTTTATGGCCTGTTTTGCTAAAATTTATGTTACATTTTTATAGTTCAGTGTAAATTGACTTTTAAAATGTAAAATTTATCATAGCAAACGGGCCGGCCCGGCCGTTGCGGTGCTCCAAACGCTTTTTAATTGCTTTATTTTCTCATATGCCGCACATACATCTGGCAACGCTGCCAACTAAAAAGCTTCCATCAAAAAGCTCACACGATAAACATCTGCGCGTTTTCAAGCACACAAAAAAAACACCCCTTGAAACTTAAAGCTTTTAAGGGTAGTCAAAGGAGGCTTCTACTAGATCTACACAAAAGATAAACAAAATATTTTTTATACCCTTTGAAATAGTTAAAATTTATCTAATGAAATTTATAAGTTTTAACAGTTTAATGAAAAACTAAATACATATACTTACCCCCTTTAGACTCAATCTTAGGGAGAGCATACAGCTGTGTGTGGAAAATAAACAACTGTCAAGCTTTTCAAGTATCATAACAGACCTTGGTGCCGTTTTCTTTTGCGGTCTCGCGAAAGCTTTTATTAAGTTTAGGGCACAACGTCGCGCGTGTGTTGGTAGCGAGCCCTAATTCTCAACCCCCAACCATTTTGAAGCTTCTTCATTGGCAATTTGGATGACGAAACACAGTCGCGAGCAGCAGCAGCTAAAGTTAAGAGTCGCTAAGGAAAAAAATCCATAAATTGATTGTGCGCCAAGGTGTAAACAACAATAGAAGCTAACTCAAGGAAAAACCCCGGAAAAATCATGCTGCCCGCGATCCGAACGGGTGTCAAGTGGAGCTGTCGCCAGAGCTGGGACATGCTAATGTCGCCCGTCACCCCACGTAACTTGCGGACCACAGCGCTGTTGACGAGCATCTACCAGCTGGTAAGTGGAGACAAGGACCCCTCATCTTCTTATATATCTTTATATAATGTATTGGATTAAGTGGGGCGCAGCGCACGGACTGCCGGCACGCAGATAAATCTGCAATCCGGCTGTTGCAAACGTGCAGCCACTAGCCCCAAACACAAAAATTATGCACTGGATATGCAAAGCCATACCCCACTGGGCGCGCTTGGACCCATCGAAGGCGGCAATGTGACGCACGCCCCCGCCCGCAAAAAGCGTATGAATGGGCCAACGGCACAATGCGTCTGCACCAATATTCCTAAATATTGGAATGTGCCGAAGACGAGCACCCTTTTTAATAATTCAAGTGAAACAAGCTGCATATAGCTACATACAGTGCTAAAACCGGTTGAGAATTTTTGACGCATTTACTGACACATTTTATTATACATAGAAATTTGGCAACACTGCAAAGATCAACTAAATCGACTATGACTGTAATCTGCAAGCCTTTTAAACTCATTCACTAACCCTTATTGTTTGACACTCAAATCTTTGTCTCACTCTGACGTTTGCTTAGTCAGAGGTCGTCTGATATTGTTTATTTATAGAATTCGTATATCGTTACTTTACATGTTCTCTTTTATTCTCTTTTTCTGTCTAGCTCATTGCGCACTCGATATTGTTTGTTGTGCTGCTCTGCCTGGCGCATGCGGAGCAAATGCGGAATCTGCTCGACATGGATATATTGGATCAGAAGGATAGCGGATTCTACAACATGTCGCCATTTCACAACGATATGCGTTTGAAGACGGCTGCTCAACTGGCAGATGCTACCGAAAATGCACTCTACGTATTATCTGGTATTGCCAGCGTCTATGCATTGAGTGCTATAGCCCTATTCTTTGGCGTGTTCAAAAATAAACCAAGTTTGATAATACCCTGGCTGGTAATTGAATTTCTAGGCGCAATAGCTGTGGCTGTTATTATATTCATGCTAAAAGATACGAAATTACCGATACTATTTGGCGGACAATGCGCGTACTGTGAGTAATTCGACTAACTTTTCTCTTTTAAATTATGTTCAGACTTAAGATTCTTTCCCACTTTAGTAATCATCTGCTATACAATGCTCCTATTGGATGGTGTCAAATGGTATGTCATGCATAGTTTCTATCAAAGTCTACGCACAATGAATAAACTGCGAGAGATTGCAACTGTAGCAATACCCTGCCCAGCACCAGGCGCTGTGAGTTTAACCTAACCTAATCCATAACCTATAGAGAAACTAAAGCATTTTCCATTTAGATACCCTATCAGTTTCGCAGAGAGCATATGTACTTGGGTAGCAATGGCTATAAGCATATACTGACTGAATCACCGGATGGACAATGTTAAATAACGTTACAAAAGACCAGAAAAAACTTCGGCAACATAAGAATTAATCATGCACACCACCCCTCCCTATCAATGCATCGAAACTTCCAGCATCAAGTGTCTTAATAATTTTTGCAATCTCATTTTATTCCTATTTTGAGCGTTTTTTGGAACGTGTGTGATATGGTAAAACAGAGATAACTATTTTAGATAGCGAATGCAACGAGAAGGATATATAAATAGACATATTCTTATGGCAATATATACACATACATACATACATGATTAAAACACTAGCAATATATATTACAGTATGTTAGATACACACTAACTATTTTCAATGTAGTGCTTGAAAAATCTCACTTAAATCTTTACTCCCGTTTAGTAACTGTAAACAATTTTACTTAATTTAAATAAACAGAAATTAAAATAGATGTCCAAGAATGATTTAAAACAGTTTCGCCGCTGGGTTTGAACCCGGGTATTTAAGGCTTAGCGTAGCAATTGTCTATACGTTGAGCTATGGCCCAGCGAAGCTCGCGAGCTGCCACATATCAATATGTTGGCATATTAACTGTATTAAGTACTATTATCTGTATAGTTGTCTCCTTTGCACACATTAAATTGAACGCAAGCCGTTCCCATTGGCCAGTTGTAAATTACTTAGATTAAATTGAAATTTGTGGCTAACCCTTAACCCAAAAATAAAAATTATAAATATAAAATTTTAATACTTAATGACCGGAATTTCTGTATTTGTTTTATTTTCACCTTTTTTTGCGGAACAAATAACAATAAATAAAGCTCTAACAAAAACATCGCTTGCGATAACATAACTAAAGCAAAATGTTTAAATTTGGCCATATTCATATTGCTTTTTAGATTATACAAATATATAAGTAATTCGCTCTTATGCTATGCTATTCTAATGTTGTTTAGCCTCTGTGCTGGTTTTTGTTTACTTTCTTTTTTTAGCTTCCATTTACCTTGACCTATTTTAGCCTTTGCGGCCACGCCCAGATCGGTTAACTGTTGTCGAGGCAGTTGTTGTTGTTGCTGTTGTCGTTGATGGTGCAGCTAAGGTGCTAGGGGCACCGAGTAAGGTCATGTCATTGCTTAAACTATCCATTAATAAATCGACCACGGTAATATTCGAGTTGCCATCTCCGTCGCCCTTGTCTGTTGGAATGCTGATCTGGAACTGGAGCAGCACCACCAAATAGGTGACCATCGTGGTTAGCAGACCCTTGAACAGAGTACGGTTCACATCAAAGAACCCGCCACAATTGATATTCGACGGATTCATTTCGGTGGCACGCAGAAACATATTAATCTCCGTCTGGGCATCCGTATTCATCCAATTGAGTTCGACCATCAAAAGTTTCTTTTGAAAATTCGTACGCACATTCACCGAGGCATAATGCGCCTCATCGCATATATAGAAGAGTAAGCCTATATTCCAAAGCGCGGTTATGGTCAATCCGATATCCTTAATGCCGAATCCCTCCGAGAGCTGTGACATAAGTCCATAAATCGACAAAGTTATGATAAAGAACAAGTAGAGACTCATGAATACGAAAGTGTAGCAGAGTGCATTGCCCGTATCCCGGGTCAACTTGCTCAAACGTAGCCAGAGGACACGATAATCGGCCACCATAGCAGCGGGACCAATATGCTTTAGAGCCTTCTGAAAACGTTCTGCCAACAGATAAGCCGTTGTGCTAATTGCCTCACAGATGAGAAACCACCAGGCGCCCAGCATGGCCGTCAAGTTGTCCAATATACAATAAGGCACCACCTGGTTGAGATTCAAATCCGACATGGTTATGTGTGTGATAACAACAGAGAGTATCGATAGTATTGGCAACACGATGGCAATGTAGACCGCCTTCTGGCGCAGATTTAAAGGCAAACTATGACCAGAGATTTGATAGTAGAGCACCTCAAAGTCATCCCAGTCATTGAACAAACGTGCGATCTTTCTTGCCTCCCACCAGAGAATCGGAATAACGATAATTGGAAGGATATTCACCAAGAATAGATACGCAATGACTGCCTCCTCGAAGGGTCCGCTAAGCGAGCGCACAGCATGAATACGATTGTTGGCCACATAGCCCACATAGAACTGAATCAAGTAATTAATCCAAAAACTTTTAGTCATCAGCGTTGGAAAAACTCACCGCAAGCAGCATAAAGAAAACGACTGAGTAAACAAAAGCAGCTGAATTTAGTGCAAATTTAGCTCGAGAAGGACCTCGCCGTACCATGGGCAGGACGCCAATAATTCGCAGAAACCAATTAACCGGTGCAATATTGCGATAGAAAACGCTCTTAGAAAAAAAAATCTTTAATAAATACAATTTAAAAGTTTAATTTTGTGCTCACCGGTGTAAAATCTGGATTATTGGAGCCAATTGTGCTGATTGAGCTTCGTTTTCCATCATTGGGTGGCGCTATATAATCACTGTCCAACCGTTCAGCTAGTCCAATGGAATACTTCCGTACGCCATGTAAATAGGCCTGTGCATTGCCACTGTTTATGGGCTTGGCATTCAGGAATACCATGTCCGGTTTTTTGCGTCTATAATAGCTGGCCATTGTTCTTGAACTGTGAGTAATTTCTATTCCTTGCCTAGTGCCTTGGGCTCAGTTATGGTTATTAAAAATGCATTTAACCTCGCCCTTTATTTGTTTCTTATTGTTTGCATTGCAAGACCAACTTGAGTTTCCTGTTGATTTCGTTTGTTTGTCTTTTGCATGCATTAACCTTAACCATGTGCCCCATTTTCAAATTTGTGTCAATGCGCGCCCAAGCTTCTACAGTGTTTTTGTTACTCAACACTGTTAAGACTATCGAAAGCGAATTAGTTTTCTTAGAGCTGTGTATCTGTTATGCATCGTATTTAATACATAACATAATGATATAAATGTCATGCCAAAATGTCAAACGAACATTTTAATTTCATAGTCAGTAGTATTATCAAATTTAATATTTTGTTTGTCATTAATTGTAACGATAAAGGCTGGAGCTTTTGCGTTTTGAATTACTGTGTCAATGAATGTTATGCGTTCCATCGATTACAAGCAGCACTATCACAAACAATTTCTTTTATCGATAAATTGATTGAAGTACATCGCTATATTTCTAGAACTTGCAAAGAAAAGCCGATAAAACAATAAAAAAATTGCATTGCCAAAATGGTTGATTATAGCAAATGGAAAAACATTGAGGTCAGTGTACTTAAAAATAATTCAATTAAATCAGTTAACTACATTTGAAATTGGTTACAGATTTCCGATGATGAGGACGAAACACATCCTAACATTGACACGCCTTCGCTGTTCCGCTGGCGACACCAGGCTCGAGTCGAACGCATGGCCGAATCGGAGAAGGAAAAAGAAGAATTGAAGAAAAAGAGACAGAGCTTCCAAGCACGTCTTATTGATGTAAAGGAGCGCATCAGCAAAAAAGACGGTGACGAGGCGGCTCTTCAGGTGATTAAAAATACCTATTATCAAATTGGCCATGACTAATGCAAATATTATTACAGTTAGAATTGGAAAAGATTGAAAACGAAGGAAAAGCGCTCGATCGTTATGAAAGTGAGCTGGCGAAGAAAGAGAAAAAAACTCCTTGGAATGTGGATACAATAAGTAAACCGGGCTTCGAAAAGACTGTGATCAACACGAAGCCTGCACGCACTGCAGATGAAAACTTGACTGAAGAGGAGCGTGAACAGCGCATGAAACAGTTCGTCAAAAAGAACGAGCAACTGTGCAAACAATACGGCATGCTGAGTAAATATGACGATTCCAAGCGCTTCCTACAACAGCATGTGGAATTGGTGTGCGAGGAGACAGCCAACTATTTGGTCATTTGGTCTATAAATTTGGAAATGGAGAAGAAGCATGAGCTGATGGCTCATGTGGCGCATCAGTGCATCTGCATGCAATACATATTAGAGCTGGCAAAACAGCTAGACAGAGATCCACGCGCTTGCTTTAGCTCGTTCTTTTCCAAAATCCAACAATGTGATCCTGAGTACCGGCAGCAGTTCGATAGCGAAATTGCTGGCTTTAAGGGGCGAATTCAAAAGCGGGCACAAGAAAAGATGCAAGAAATCATAGCTGAGGTAGAGGAGGAGGAGAAACAGCAGCGCCTGGGACCAGGTGGTCTAGATCCCGCAGATGTCTTTGAATCCCTGCCAGATGTAGGTTAAAACAGACATGTAATAGACTTATTTAATATAAAAACCTTCCTAACAGGAACTGAAAGCTTGCTTTGAGTCTCGCGACATTGAGCAGCTGCAGAAGATTATTGCCACCATGCCGGTGGAGGATGCCAAGTATCATATGAAACGTTGCGTTGACTCTGGACTCTGGGTGCCAAATGCTGCCGATGCGCCTCAGGACAAAGATGAATCAGAAGCGAAGGTCGACGATGCGGCTGGCACTGAAACAGCAAAAGCGGATGCAACGGAGAAAGATAAGTCAAAATCTACCAAGGAGGAGCCAATCTATGCTGGCGTTAGCAGCGATGACCTCGATTGATCCGTTCCACCAGCACTCTTGTTGCATGTTTACTCTATAAGTTTAATTTTAATATAAATGTGTCCCCCCCCATTATGAGTTAATCAAGTTCAGTTTGTATATAAATTAATATGTTGCTGGTCCAGCGATGAACTAGGCGTCGGTGGCAGGTCCAGCGTTGATCGGGTATTTATAGTCTTAATCAATAAGTTGCTGGTCCAGCTATGAGCTAGGCGTCGGTGGCAGGTCCAGCGTTGATCGGGTAATTATAATCTTCTTATGATGATTATGTTGGAGGGTTTGACTTCACCCCCTTTTCTATTAACTGGCCTTGTGGCTCAGCAATGATCAGAAATATAACAATTTGATTACGGCGGTGTGCCGGAGTAGTGCGGGTTTATTCTTCAAACTTCAATGCAAAACTGATTTTTAGCTACATAGAATATTTCACTTAAGCTAAGCCAAAACTCGCATCACACCACAATGTCATGGTCGGCAAGCCGACTCAGCAATCTTAGGCAATAACGGAAACTCTTGCAGTAAACAAAAGTATCTGGTTACCGCCGCTGACCATTGCAGTTATAGCGCGCTGATACAAAGTATGCAGTGTCGCAATTGCGAGGGCTGTTTCTTAACTTACGAAACACGCGATAGCGAGGGTTGGTTATAAACTTATGAAATACCCTATATTAAATGTTATGTGTTAACTACTCCCCCTTCAAGTGTAAGGCCGCCCTCGGCCGACCCAATTCCGGCGACGACTTCTCGTAATTGCTTCGCAGACTTCCTTGCGTCGATGAACCGCCAAAGGGTGAGGCCAATGCAGATTAAAGCACAGCATATACCTCCAATGATGAATGCCACACGATAAGCTTGATCAGTTCCGGCGTCTTTCTTGAATTGCTGTATCTCCTCCAAATTACGTTCATTTAAACGATGAAGATAAGGGAGGCTGAGGACATCTTGGCTGGCAGTGATGTTCAGCAAGGGAGAGTTGGCAATGCCCGGGACTCTATTGCGTACGTTGTTGTGGTTGTAAAACAGAGTCCCGTTGATCGCGACTCGGTCCCCGAACGTAATGAGATGCGTGCCGTGTACTTGGATTTCAGTGCCGTTATCCACCTGGATCCTTGCGGACCCGTCGTTAAGAATGATGATTCCATCATCTACGTGGGTGATTATTTCCAGGTTGCTCGGCTGGATTTCACAGTGTGCCGTGCCACCTGCATGGAGCTCTTTGGCACATGAACTCTCTAATGCCAGACGACAAAAGGTGGCTCCAGGTGAAGCGGTGCAACTCTGCAGTGTGTGGGTTTTTCCATCGCATTCGGCTATGACGTTGTCAGGCAATCGCAATATGAAATTCTTGTGAATGACAGGATAAATCGTAATTTTTCTGCAAGCTTGTTTAATATGATTTAAATTCCAAAAAAAAAAAAAAATTTTTTTTTTTTTTTTTTTTTTTTTTTTTTTTTTTACGTTGGGCGCCAATTAATATGTTGCTGGTCCAGCGATGAACTAGGCGTCGGTGGCAGGTCCAGCGTTGATCGGGTATTTATAGTCTTAATCAATAAGTTGCTGGTCCAGCTATGAGCTAGGCGTCGGTGGCAGGTCCAGCGTTGATCGGGTAATTATAATCTTCTTATGATGATTATGTTGGAGGGTTTGACTTCACCCCCTTTTCTATTAACTGGCCTTGTGGCTCAGCAATGATCAGAAATATAACAATTTGATTACGGCGGTGTGCCGGAGTAGTGCGGGTTTATTCTTCAAACTTCAATGCAAAACTGATTTTTAGCTACATAGAATATTTCACTTAAGCTAAGCCAAAACTCGCATCACACCACAATGTCATGGTCGGCAAGCCGACTCAGCAATCTTAGGCAATAACGGAAACTCTTGCAGTAAACAAAAGTATCTGGTTACCGCCGCTGACCATTGCAGTTATAGCGCGCTGATACAAAGTATGCAGTGTCGCAATTGCGAGGGCTGTTTCTTAACTTACGAAACACGCGATAGCGAGGGTTGGTTATAAACTTATGAAATACCCTATATTAAATGTTATGTGTTAACTTATACGTTGAGAAACGATACCTCAAATCAAATTCTCAGTAAACTGCGCATGGTTTTTCAAATAATAATCAAGCTATCCACTTACATAAACTCTGATAATAAAATCGGTTTTATTTAGTTGAACTATCAATATCTATCAAATATGAATCGTCCCGAGCTGGACTATTACTCTGTGCTGGACATTCCGCGCAATGTCACCAAGGAGCAGATTACCCTGGCATATCGGCGCATGGCAGTTCGTTTATGTCCGCACAGGGATAAAAAATATGAGATGGATTTTGTGCCACTGGCCCAGGAGGGCAAATTGACGCATTTGTCGCCTATGTCAGAGACCAAACAGTGGGCGTATCTAAATATGGCATTTGATGTGCTAGGCAACGAGCTGTATCGTGCCATCTATGATCGATATGGCGAGGCAGGTCTGTTCGAGGGGGTGATGCTGCCCAATGGCTATTTCCCACCCTATCAATACCATGGCGATCATATGAAGGTATATGAACGGGTATTTTCCAGCTATTCGCCGTACGCGAATGTTATTGATGCCATTACCAATCCCCCTTGTTTGTATGCTACTAAAGAGCATGGTATAGGTGTGCGTCACAAAGATGCGGATACGGAACGTATTATATACTTGTCTTTGGAGGAGGTGCGCACAGGTTGTGTAAAACTTATGCATGTGTGGCGTCAGGAGATTATTGACGTTAAAGAATCACGGCTGGAAAAGCGAAAGCACACACTTAAACTCATCATCCAGCCGGGCACTACTGCTGGCACTCGCTATTGCTTTAAGGAGGAGGGTGATCGCTATCCAACGACCATACCAGGTGACATTATATTCATTGCCGCCGACAAGCCGCATCCGACATTTGAGCGCCGCAACATGCATGACCTGGTCTATCGCTATGATATCAATATAGCTCAGGCCTATACGGGATTTATCTTCTTCGTGAATACCCTAGACAAGCGGCAGTTAAAGATCGTCATCTCGGATGTGGTAACTCCAGGTTACCAGAAGATTGTGCCATTGGAGGGTTTGCCCAAGTGCCGCAATCTGGATGCTGTGAATGCAATTAAGCATGCCAATAAACAAATTGAAGAATTTGGTGATCTTATAATAGAGTTTAATTGTAAATTAATCAACAAAACTAGGAAACAGCTGATTATTTAACGGTTTTTTCACAGATATATTTCCAAAATACTTAACACCAGAAATGAAGAAATTGACACGTGAATTCTACACGGAGTTTCGTAAATTGGAAATGGAACTGGAAAAGGAAGAGGAAATGCACAATCAGTATTCATAGTATTTTAATTAATTTATTGTGAAAATAAAAATTGTCTGTAGTTCAGCGTAAGCAGCATACCTAGCGTGAAATATCGGTGAAGCATTATTCGTGTATCGGTTAGCGTATTACATATCGATAGGTTATTCATTTTTACGGACAGGTAAAACACAGCATAATTAAAAAACAGCAAGTAAAACAACAAAGAATAATTTGTGCTAAATAAATAAGAAAACGTATTGTATAACTATTGCAGTCTATTGAAACTCGCCATAAACTCGAGCAAAGCAACAACAAATTGAATAATACGATAAGCAAAGTGATATTTGGCTACATAATTCAATTACTGACACCTGTGCAGTACGTCCCTCCCCCATTCCTTCAAGTTTGCTACGGAAATTCCAGCGATACGCTTGAGTGCAAGTGGAGGCTGGCTAGCTGACCGCACCCACAATTAACGGTACACAATGCACCTAAGCGCCGATATTTCCAGTGCCCTCCAGCAAATCGAAGCTGTGAAAAAGGGCATTGACGACTCAGAAGATGCAAAACTGCAAATGCAAACGGCGGATAGTTTAAATACGATAATGGGCATATTAACAGATCCAGTTTTTCGCACCATTGCCCATGTGCAAGAGTCACTCTTCGAGCTGGGGATACAGCTTGGCCAGCATCCGTCCATGTTGCCCAATGACTTCGACATTGATGTCTCGGGAAATTTAGTCCTCAGCTTGAATGGAGGTGATGTTATGTACGATTCGTCGGCCCCAGCCAGTCCGGACAAGTCCAGCTCCACGGGCGGCGACGTAGAGCAACGTCCACAAAGTCAAAATTCCAAATCAGCCGCTGCGGATTTATATGCCACGGACTATGCCCAGATCCAGGCAATTGAGCTTGTCAACGATGGCACAGGTCTGGGTTTTGGCATCATTGGTGCGCGCAATTCTGGAGTCATTGTAAAGACCATTCTGCCAGGAGGCGTGGCCGATCGCGATGGTCGCCTGCGATCTGGTGATCACATTCTCCAGATTGGCGATGTGAATCTGCATGAGATGGTGTCTGAGCAGGTAGCTGCAGTGCTGCGACAATCGGGAACTCACGTGCGTCTCGTTGTGGTGCGTCCCATTGAGCAGAGCTTGCCTACGCCACAATATGCCTTGGAGCCGGGCAGCGCTGTGGTGCCCACTCGTGTGCTCGTCGATCCCGCTGAGCTGGAGCGTTATCTCATTTCAACTGGCTATCCGGAGATCTTTGGAGAGAGTTCGACGGCCTCAACGCCACAAACAACGACGGAGGATGAACGCTTTGTGTATCGCGGGGAGACTTCGATGCTTATTGATCCCAGCATCGATCTGGATGAGCTCCTGGCTTTGCCCGAAACTGAGAAACTGCAGGTGGAACTGAAGAAGGATGCGAATGGATTAGGTATTACCATTGCCGGCTATGTTTGCGAAAAGGAAGAACTCTCCGGGATCTTTGTAAAGAGTGTCTCTCCGGGCTCGGCGGCCGATCTAAGTGGACGCATACGCGTTAACGATCGCATCATAGAGGTGGACGGTCAATCACTTCAGGGCTATTCTAATCACCAGGCTGTTGAGCTGCTTAAAAAGTCTGGTCAAGTGGTTAATCTGCGACTAGAGCGTTATCTACGCGGACCCAAATACGAGCAACTACAACAAGCTATTGCTGCCAATGCCAACGAAAAGTTGCCTACCAGCTCACCGGGCACGCCCTCTCGGGCGCCCTTACCCACACCCACAGCTACGCCTTCATCTACGACAGTTAGCAGAGAGATAGAGGATGAGACGTTGCCTGCACCGGAGGCGTTTATGATGACCACGCCGCCATCGAGCTCTCTGGCTACGACCACCACGCTGAGCAGCTTTGGCGCAGGCAAGCAGTTGGTGGCTGTTCGAGATTCGTTGGAAGGAGCGGCTAAGATTGTAGCCACAGATGTGGTGGCTGATAAGCAGGAAGTACATATAAATATATAAACTTTAAATATATCAGATCGCTCACATTTCTCCTTGCTTACAGACAGCTGTGCATGCCAAGAACTCGAGCCTTATAACACGCCACAACTATTACATGGAGTCGGAACTGACCGAGGAAATGGAGTCGGAGATTGTGCGAAAATGGCAAAAGATAGTGGGCGCCGATATGGAGGTGATTGTGGCGCAAATTAAAAAGTTTGCTGTTGGCGGGTTGGGCATCTCATTGGAGGGCACCGTCGATGTGGAAGGTGGACGCGAAGTGCGCCCACACCATTATATACGCTCTATACTGCCCGATGGACCGGTTGGAGTGAATGGTGTACTTCGCTCTGGCGATGAGTTGTTGGAGGTTAATGGCGAGCGACTCTTGGGCATGAATCATCTGGAAGTTGTGGCCATATTGAAGGAACTGCCATTGGATGTCCGTATGGTGTGTGGACGTAGCAAGGTGACGTCTCTGCTTCCCTTCTCGGATGATACGCTGAAGAAGCTAAGCAACAATTTCGAAAATCTACTGCCGGCAACAGATCGTCTGGTCAAAGCCAAATCCGATGGCAGCCTAGCAACAGCTGGATCGGTGTCTGATGCGGACTCAGTAGCCGTAGCTGCTGCGTCATTTAACAAGTTGAAATCTCGTTCACTGGAACCACTCACTGGCTTGGCCATGTGGTCGTCGCAGCCGCAGATTATTGAACTGCTGAAAGGCGATCGCGGCTTGGGCTTCTCCATATTGGATTACCAGGATCCATTAGATTCGAATGATACACTGATTGTCATACGTTCGCTGGTACCTGGCGGCGTGGCTCAGCTGGATGGCAGACTAATACCTGGAGACCGTTTGCTCTTTGTCAACTCGATTAATTTGGAGAACGCTTCACTGGATCAGGCTGTGCAAGCCTTGAAGGGTGCGCCGAAGGGCGTAGTACGTATTGGTGTGGCCAAGCCGCTGCCCATGACGGATAATTCATTGAAGGCATGCAGCAATGCCAGCACCACCAGCGAAGAGACGTTGGATGCTCAGCAATCCCCACCAGCGTTGCCCACAGTAGCGCCTCCGACAGCCGCCAAGGGCGCCGAGCCGGATTTAATACCCGACTGGAGGAAATAGATGCTGCCGTTTAAAAGCTGTTATTATTATTATATTTATATTAAGCAAACAATTATATTATGCACCAATTGTGTTGACCAGAGCCGCCGAAAGAAACGCGGCTCGGCTTGTCCCCAACCATGGACAGCTGCATTCCCAACAATCGCAATATTTTCATTCCCCTTGGAGTATTAGTTAAGTGTGTGTGAATTTAATGTACTTACAACTAAATAAATTATGCAAATCGTTTACAATATTAGTTAGTTCGTATATGTACTATATACAATGATGAGTATCCGATAACGTGGCTCTTTGCTGAGCTACTGCTCCCGATTCAACTGCCTTTCGATACGCATATAGTTGCGCCTGGAGAGCACACGATCCCTTGCATAGCTCACCAAATAACTGAGCACAGCGATCACAAATGCAATAGCTTCGAACTTTATGAAATTGCGCTGCTCGATGAGAGCCACTCGATCACAGCTCTTGGTCACAATTTCGCCGCTTTTGCAGCGCAACACCTCCTTGTAATGAGTGTGAATGCAGACGCCGAGACTGCGACTCACAATATCGAACTCGGAGCAAGGATGACACTCCTGAACAACGGTGTAGGTCTCGTGTTTCCAGCAGGTTGAATTGTTCTCGATGACAAATCGTTCACCACGACGCCGAGCAAAGCTGCCCTCTGCTGCATAGCGGGATTCAATTATTAGCACTAGAATGGTGACTAGGGTAAGGGCGGTAAGGCCCAACACCATGTGATGTTTTTGGCAGTTCTCGAGCATATTGTGTTTACTTATAATGGCAAAAAAGAAATAAACTTAAATGAAAGTCAAGTTTGTTTTTGCTTGCACAGCTGTTGAACTAGGGCTACACAAACTTAATCACTCAACCAGTTTAAGCGATACTAGTTAACGATATATAACAAACGTGTGTGAGCTAAAAGATTATATCTTAAAACCCTAGTAAAAATAAAATGATTACACTTCAAAAATAACAAAAACTGCAATTAATTAATTTTATTAGATTTGTAATTGAATAAAGTCATGCATATCTGTATATCTGGATTTGTCCTATATATCGTTTTAGTTGCTAATGCATTACGCTAAGCATCGACACACGAACATCGATACCTATCGATAGTACGGGCTGTTTACGAAAAAGTAAAACATGCAAATACCAAGGAAGGGACAGAGACCAAAACAATTACGAAGATAGCCACAAAGGGAAACGTGGAAAATTTATGAAAATCTGTGAAAATTGTGTGGTAGCGCATAGAAAATGGTGCTTCGGTCGGGAATTATAATTCCATTTCAATTTCGCGATACTAAGAAGCTGCTCATGATTGGCGTGCCCGAGGAGAATCGAAATTTAAACATATGGGACTTGAAGAATGTTGGTAAGCCTTGTTAACGGACAGTAGCAGGTGCTCAACGGTAGCAGGGGGCGGGGGCTTGGTACAGGAGGCAACGGCGCACGCTGCCGCAGGCCCAGGCAGGTCGTTAAACTTAATTGCCTTCAGAAATATGTGTGTATAAAGAGCAACACCCAAAATGTGTTTTAGGGCTGCAAACGCAGCATAAATTCTGATTTGGACATTGGAATTAATCAATTTTTTCCCGTTTTCCGTTTTGCTACTATTTCTGATATCATTTCGTTTTCAGTTCGCGCTGCATTTGGCATCTACAATTTTGAGTTTCGCAACAAAAAGATCGGCTTTAACATACCCGATGAACTGCTGCTACATTATTTGGCCCAACGTCACGACCTCACAAATTTCGTTATTGAAATAAGCCAAGGTAATTGCATATAGCCATTTAAGTTATCCGCGTTACACACTAGCGTTTAAGCCTTTTAACAAAACTTGGAACCATTTACATATACATACATATACATACAATTGTATATTAAAAACAATATATCTGAATGCGAATGCATTTGTAGATCTATCTGTGTATATAGACGCGGCAACCGCTAAACGTGCTTTGCTTGTAAGTCTCTCACAATTGCACTATAATAAAAATCCACATTGAAAATGCTCCCTCTTACAGCGCTAGATGATGGACACGCTAAGGAGCTGCTGTCCTACGAGCCTTCCTGCTCAATGGCAGTAATAAAGCAGCAACAACAGCAGCACCAACAGCAGCAGCAACTTCATAATCCACATCCAATACAACACCACGTGCCACTGCCTCAGCGCTCTAATGAAAGTGTCAGCCATGCCCACGACTATGTGGCTGGCCCCCCAGCCTTACCTGGATCACAGCCAAATTCGCCAGCCTTAGGCGTATGCAATGAGGCAGTTGACTCGCCGTTGGAGCATGCGAACAACTCGAATTCGGATCATGCTGAGACAAACCAAAAGCTGCGGCTCACACAAACCTATGCGGAACGCACGCCCGAATCGTTAACACAATCAATAGATCCGATGGACATAATACCTAAAGCGGAGTCTGAATCGGAAGCTGAGCGTGCTGCTCGTGCTGCTCGCTTTCAGGCGCGGGTACAGCAACAACAGCAGCAGGTGCATCAGCATCAGCAACAGACACAAACGCTGCATCACTCGCTGCCTTCCCAGCAGTTCTTCTCCAACTATACGCACAGTCTGCCGACTATGACACCACCAAATACGTCCCAGCAGGCGCCCTACACTCCAGGTCTGATGAGTCGATTTAGAAGTGAGTAACAGCGGGTTATGAAGAAATTATATCTAAAACTGTTAATTTTACTTCCAGAACGTGGCGAGCGCATGTCCAAGGACCAAAAAGAATTGTACGTCAAATTCTTCGAGGACAATCCCTGCATGCTGTCGAACCATCGTCGGCACGATGGCTTAACCGAGCCACTGTGGGGCAAGTTAGCGCACATGCTCAATAGCGTGCCGCAGGGCGCTGTGAAGAATGTCGATGATTGGAAGCAAACGTTCGATGCCTGGCGTTATCGTATTTTCATGTATACACGATACAACTCCAAGCTAAGCATGTCAGAGACGAGCGACCCTAAAAACTTTAAGCCGCTGACAGCGACCGATCAGAAGGCCTATACCATGTGGACCAGTCATAAGCACATTGCACCGCCAGATTATGATAAAATGGATATGTTTGTGCCACTGGACGAGAGCACAACGGCAACGAATAGCTACGACTACTAAGGCAGTCCACAAATCCCCAATAAGTGCAAATGTTAATGATAATCAGAACGAAGATGATGTGTACTTTAACTAATGCTAAGCGCTAAATACATTATGTTTAAGCAACATATATAATACAATTTCTGCTTATCTATTTTCTATTTTTAGACTTAAGCACGTTTTTCTATGTAACCTTTGAGACTAACATGTTCCCCTTTGTTTGCAGTGTACGATGGCGCCTTGGACAACTATGTGCTTCATCCCCAATGCCGCTGCGGTGCTCAAAAGCTGCTCAACGATTCGCCCACGCCAGAGGAGCCCACAAATCTGTGCCAGAGTAACACGGTTATAGACGCAGTGCCTTCATCGGCTACAATGACGCTGCCTCCTTGCGAGGATGATGAACAGGAGAGTCTGAAGTACCGCATCGATAAGGCTAGTAGTGGTGCTGCATCTGCGGAGCTGGGCATGCCCGCCTATGATCCATGCACACCCAAAATGGACTACGACACGCAAGACGAGCTGCCGGATTCGCCGCACTCGCCACACCCACAACAGCAGCTACAGCAGCAATTGGTAACAGCACCGTTGCCATTGCCGCCACCACCTTCACATATTCCGCATCATCATCAGCACGACGACGATCAGCAGCAGCAGCAGCAACAGCAGCAGCAGCAACAACAGCAACAACAGTTACTACAGGAGCGCATACAGCATGAGTTCATGCTGCAGCAGCAGCAACAGCATCAGCATTTGCAGCAACAGCAGCATTTAGCGCTGTTGCAACAACAGGAGCAACAACAACAGCATCAACAACAACAACAGCAACAACAGCAGCAGCACCATCAACAGCAACAACAAGGCGTCAACATGGCTTTAGCCCCAACGGGCACAAATAACATTCGACGTAAGTAAAACATACGAGACAGTCAGACGGTCAGACAGTCAGTTGTAAGCTAAAGGGTATCTGCTTGCCCATATTCAATTTTATAATAACATTTCTCTCTCTTATCCACAGAACGCAAGGAACGCATGTCTAAGCGCCAAAAGGAGCTGTACGTGCACTTTCTGCAACAGCATCAATTCATCAACGATCATCGACGCAACGATCCCGTGTTGGACCCGTACTGGCTTAAGTTGGCGAATCTGTTGAATGCGGTGCCACAGGGCGCGGTCAAGCATGTGACGGAGTGGAAGCAAACCTTTGACAATTGGCGATATCGTATCTTTTTGTATGCGCGCTACAATTCGAAGCTGCAGGATGAGGAAGCACAGAATCCGCGCAACTTTAAGCCGCTGACACGCACCGACAAGCAGGCGTACATAATGTGGATACGCAATCCGGATACTGCGCCGCCGGATCTAGATAAAATGCGCAATGTGTTCTGCAATCTGGAGGAAAGTACGACGCATCAGGACTAAAAGCCAGCCGGTCTTTCAATAGGCCGGCTCATCCGCAAGCGCTTTCGCAAATTGCCATTGTTCTAGTTTATAAGAGACGGTTTTCTATATATGCATATAAGCACATATATTTTGTTTTCATGTTAATTTCGTGTAATTTTATAACTGGAAATGCATTTTCCCTTTATTTTTTTTCATTGTTATGCTAATATATGTATAAATATATTAATTGAGTAAATTGTTTATGTACAAGTGGGAAGTGTGGCAGGTGAGAAAAGGCAAATGATTTAGTAGTAGCAATTGGTTTGAGGCAGTGTGTCATGCGAGGGTAGTATAAAACATTTTTGACCTAACAAGAAAGAACAAATTCTTTCAAAACAAATGTAGTTCTTCAAGTTAAGTGTTAAATAATAAGTTCTTCAGTAGAATCCTTATACATATTACATATTCGAATGTCGTTCTTACTTAAACAACAGACCCAACAAAACTAAAGGTCAGGGCAAGTTGTCCAGATTGAGCCTTTTATAAAGAATCTTAAAATGCAATTCTGGCCCGTATGCACTTTCAAACTACTTTCGCTTAAATCAATGACAACAAAGGTTGTGCAGGATAGCATCAACAACGAGAAAAAAAAACCTTGAACCTTAATGGAGTCTTGTTCTGTCTGAGAGTAGAATTCAAAGTTGACAAACTCCTTTCGATATGAACTGAATGAATGTATTGTTGCTGGTAGAAAACATGTGTATTTATCTGTGACTTCCCTATCTGAGAAATACGAATCGAGATCTAGACACCTACGTCTATGTAGACTTCTTATGCGTTGATTAATTTGCTGCCCGCGGCGTACAGCATCCAATCTGTGGGTACTTGTCGCACATGCTTCGCCTGTTGCTGCTGCTGCGGCTGCGGCTGCGGCTGCTGTTGGAAACTAATCCGGCAATCATTAATTAACTGTTCAATCAAATCCGATACGCTCAATGCTGTTGACTGTCTGATGTTTTTTTCCTTTATTTTTTTGGGCGCTGCACAGAACCGAATCAGGTTTATTAACAAGCCCGACACTTACATGCATATCAGCTAAGAAGAGTTTCGAATTTTGTTTGCAAATTTATTAGAAATATTTATATATATCGACAGATATATGCAAATGTCATACAGATACGTTGCAGAGTCTTAAGCGTCTTTGCAGATATTTGCAAATTGGCTCATAAACTGCTCAGCTGTCCGGCCGCTTGTCGCTTATCTCGGCGTCGTCCGTTGCCAATTGCCATTACTAATAAAGATAAATGAATGTGCGCTCATTAAATAAAAGGCATTGAGCTGGCTCTCTACACTGTGCACTGCCAGCATCAACTAGCTGGCTGGGGCTGTCATGTCGATATCTATTCCAGATCTGTAGCATTCAGTCAAGCGTTCAAGATCAATAATATTCTCAGCATTAGCATATGCAGCATTCAATATGGCAAAACTGTAGGCCGTGCCAGCTGACAGCCTCAGCTGGGTGGCTTTGGATTTATAAATTATGACAACTGGGCCCAAACAATGCTAACTGTAGTAGCCATGCATAAAACATGATGTAACTCAATATAGAGCACAAAGTACATGGCAGAGTTAATGATCTTGCGGTTTGCATACGAGCTTTGACATAAGGACGGTTCAGCGTCAAGTCAATGCCAAGGAAAAGTGCGCATTTGTGACCGCGTTAATTAAAGATTTTATCTAAGGTACTTTGTTTATGAATTATAGACTTATTTCAATATTAATTATACAAATTATCTTATGCAAGTATCGATAGAGCAATTTCCATTTGTTCAGCTCATTTTATATGGTTTCACAACATATTTTATATGTAAATATTTCTATACACATTCAAGCTCATCTCTAGTTTATCTTATCTTATCTTAGTGTAAGACTTCAGTTTACGCAATGAGTGGGAAAAATATACATAGATAGCTGTCTGTTATCTGTCAACTTATCACAGCTGACGAAAAACGATAATTTTATTTGAATTAAAATTATGAAATGGCTATGAACAAGCGAGGGAGGTCCAAACAGTTTTTTAGATCAACGAAATAGATTTTATAATTTTTAATTAATATTACTAACTTTAAACAATGCATACAAATATATATATATATATATTTATGCCTTGCCTTATCAGATCAATGCCAAGGACCAGATGTATTGCTTTTTTTATGGTTTAAGGTTTTGCTATATTAGATAATTAGCTACAAAACTAGTTTTCTGAAAGCTTTTTAGCTTATAATAATATATACTTAACTAAAGATACATCATTTATCTGATATAGTTTATTTATTATATTTATCTCTTTATATACTTACCTCAACCTATATTCACATACATAGTTAAGACTTTCTGCATAAGTTGATAGCCAAGCAGCAATACATTAAGTTACTTTTCAATCTCTAAGCACATCTCTTTAAAACAGCATTAGCCGCAGCTTGCCTTAAAGCTCCTTTTAGCTTCTCCATCATACTCTAATTCTTGCAGTTGCATTAGCTGCCTGCATGGCCGGGTCTTGCCTTGCCTTGGCCAATCTTAAGCTGTTTGCAAAATACTATAAATTAGCCTGCCTGTCACTTTCGATAGTTTACAAAAATTACCATCAGATTATGTGGACGCCGAAAAATTCTCCCACACTCTCTAAGAGCCGAAAAAAGCCACTAAGCTGCTGCTAGCAGTAGCTGCCACTTGTACGGCCCACAAAATCATCAGATCAATCATAAGCACGAGAAAAAAAAGCAAATGTGCTGTAAAGAAAAAACGATAAAAAGACCATAAATGCGATAGAGATCTTTTGTAAGACCTGTTTGGTACATGGCCCGCCCCGACATCAAATCAACTTGTCAAGCCAAAGCGTTTTAAGCAGACATTTCTGTTGATTTACTATTGGAACCAAATACACACTCGCATAATTGCAAAAACTTGTGTATGCTAATCGATCGTCCGCTTGATTGATATGGCCTTTTAATTATATTTACATTTTAATTATGGCTGCTTAAGTGCCCTGAACATGAGCCACATGCATACGAACAGAGTTCTATATACCTTTTCGGAAAGTTCAAATAAAAATGAGATAATACAAATTGAGATGAGCAACAATTTCTCTTCAAATTCTGAGTGATATGATATGATATTTATATACATATACTATATATGATATATATGATGTTTTTGGCTGCAGCACAGTTTGGCATAAATTCCAATTCCAGTTTAGCCTTCAGATAAGGCGTGAAGTGTAGCACATACAAATAGAGACTTATGCGATATATATAACTATTTATGTATATAGGCCTACATATGTGTGTGATATATATATCAAATTTCAATGTCGCTCACGTAATGTCAATGTAGGCTCATTTTTGTGTTTTGTTTCGGCCAAAACGTTTTGGCCATTAAAGAGGTCAGGGCTGTTCACTGGCTGATAGCACGTGTATATATATAAAATAATCCTGCTGTGCTGCGCTTCATTAAAGCATTTCCAGATATATAAAACATCATTAACATATTTAATGCAAAGGAACGCCAAAAATTTATCAAAAGCTGCGTAAATTTGGATGCTGCATCAAATTAAATTTTTTTTGCTTACATAAATAAAAATATTCCTGATTAATTAATAAAAAAGATGTAAAAAATTGCAATTTATGCAAACGCTTCAGTAAATGCAAATAAAATATATGTATGTATATATATATATATATTTGTATATAACAATCAAATTCCAGCTACATGTCCAGCCGGAAGCTGCCCTAGCAACATATGGGAAAAACTCGCTTTGGCAACACAATGAAAAACCAAAATAAAAACGAAAAACGAAAAATCAAGCCGAACTGGCCGAGAGCCAGTCGGCAGGCAGCTCGCTGCTTCGTTTTGTGTCTCGGCAAGCAGCTGATGCACAGAGCTGCGGCCGGAGACCAGAGACCTGAGACTTTATGCTGATGCTACCACATTTGCTGCTTTCAGTGTGGCCCGTGTCTCCAATGTGTTTTGTCACGCTTAAAGCGCTGCCCTCGGTATAACAAAAAAAAACAAAACGATAAACGAAAACAAAACAAGCACAGTAAACATTCAATAAAACAACAGCAGCAGCAACAAATAATTCAGAAATGTATGTGCAGTGTCAACAGATGATGCAAACAAATATAAAAAATCGCATTACAATGGTGTTAATTATGATAAATATATATTCACACACACACATAAGCATATGCATCTGTATATATAGACACTAGTGCAGTTCTCAGCCAGTAAAATTTGGCACAACATGCCAAAAAGGCCATGCAAATTCCTTGCTGCAAAACAAAAGACTTAGGCAACGAACTTGCGTGTAGCTATGCAGCTATGCGCCTGTAGGCAGACAGGCCACAGCCCAAAAAAAAAACACTCAACTGCTGTCAGAGCCGTGTTAAATTTATGCAAATAAATAAATCAAAGCCAAAGCCTAAGAGCCTGAGCAGGAGGCGTTGTTGTCGTTGTCGTTGTTTCTTGCAGCACGCACTAAAAAATAAAAAATATGAGAAGTAAACGTCTCACAGAGTTGGGCGCACTGCAGTTTTTAAGGCCGCATAAATTAAGCGCCGCAAAAGTGGAAGGGAAAAGTTAGCAGCATAATTGAAAAATTAAATATATAAAAACAAAATTAAACTTAAGCTCGTATCATGTGCATAATAATACGAAACTAAACGCATTTTTAATGGCAACAGCATTGAAATGAGTATTTTCTAAGGCTTTCAGATGCATAACTAGGCAGTCACTTATACAGTAGTTATGCTGTTTATAAGCCGGAAATAGTTTTAGATAATTGCAGGTACTCAGCGCGCGTACACAAAACAATCTAAAAAACTTCTTTAAATTTGTTTTTATTTTTTAGTTGCATAAAAGAAAGAGAGAGAGAAAAACTAACTATATAAAAGGAATCCATATAAAACAGAACTGGAATGCAAATCGTGTTCTAGTTAGTACTTGTTCCAGTGCACTGGAAAACGAGTTCACAGATCATTAAAACCCATATACTCATCTTAACTAAACTAGTTTCTCAACTTAAGATATTAAACAAACTAATTAAATATATATATATATATATATATATATATA